GCAGTTCAGGGGCAGGGCCGGGGCAGGGCCGGGGCAGAGCCGGGCCAGGGCCGGGGCAGTTCAGGGGCAGGGCCGGGGCAGTTCAGGAGCAGGGCCGGGGCAGTTCAGGAGCAGGGCCGGGGCAGAGCCGGGGCAGGGCCGGGGCAGGGCCGGGGCAGAGCCGGGCCAGGGCCGGGGCAGTTCAGGGGCAGGGCCGGGGCAGGGCCGGGGCAGTTCAGGAGCAGGGCCGGGGCAGTTCAGAAGCAGGGCCGGGGCAGGGCCGGGGCAGGGCCGGGGCAGAGCCGGGGCAGGGTGCAGGGCCGGGGCAGGGCCGGGGCAGGGCCGGGGCAGGGCCTGGGCAGGGCCGGGGCAGGGTCGGAGCAGGGCCGGGACAGGGCCGGGGCGAGGCCGCGACAGGTCCGGGGCAGGGCCGGGGCCGGGCCGCGACAGTGCAGGAGCAGGGCCGGGGCAGAGCTGCGACAGGGCTGCAGCAGGGCCGGCGTAGGGCCTGACGGGGCCGAGAATTGGGCCTGACGGGGCCGTACGGGGCCTCTAACGGGGCCTGACAGGGCCTTACGGGGCCTGACGGGGCCTTGCGGGGCCTTACGGGGCCTTACGGGGCCGTACGGGGCCTAACGGGGCCTGAAACGGGGCCTGATGGGGCCTTACGGGGCCTTAAACGGGGCCTGACGGGGCCTTACGGGGCCTTACAGGGCCTTACGGGGCCTTACGAGGCCTTAAACGGGGCCGTAAATGGGGCCTTACGGGGCCTTACGGGGCCTTACGGGGCCTTAAACGGGGCCGTAAATGGGGCCTTACGGGGCCTGACGGGGCATTAAAAGGGGCCGTAAACGGGGCCTTACGGGGCCTTACGGGGCCTAACGGGGCCTTACAGTGCCGTAAACGGGGCCTTAAGGGGCCGTACGGGGCCTTACGGGGCCGGAAAAGGGGGCCTTACGAGGCCTTACGGGGCGGGCTCTGGCTCTAAGGGCAGGCGCAGGGGCCGCGACGGGCCTCGAAGGGAAGGCGCGACGCGCGCGTCGAGCAGGCAGTGACGAATTTCAGTGGTGGGCCCTTTTAAAAAAAATCTCGAAACTAGCTCTATACCATGTGAGAAGGATTGACGAAAGAATGAATAAACTAGAAAGTGAGATGGGTACAAATAGAAAACACATAAGTGTTGTACCCTCTAAGAGCTACCCCACTACAGCCTAAATAGACCATAGTAGATATAAGTTTGACAAGTGCCCCCTCGGACAACTGTGCTTGCATCCGAAGAATAGAGCGACACTGTCGCCATTCTGGTCCAAGACCCGCGAGTAGCACCGTGTGAAACATAGCGTCGGGGAAGTACCCTCCACACTTCTGAAGTTGATCACGCAGATTTCGAGCACGGTTGATATACTGCGTCACCTTCTCGCCGTTTATCATCTGTATATTTGACAGCTGCGTCAAAATTTCACTCTGGTTGACAGTGTCCTTTGCCATGTGAACCCCTTGCTGATATAACCAGGCTGCTTCAGCAGGAGCGGCACTGGTACGAAAAGGACGAATGCCAAGCTGTTCAGTCGGTGTCAGATTGCGAACGAGAACTGTGTATGCAGTCAGCGACGCCGATCGAAAAGTGGCCTGTTGAAGTGGTGACCCGTGAGATGGAAAGGGTGCTGTGCCGTCGAACAACTGCCAGAACCCCGCGGTCTGAACAAGAAGCTCAAATTCAAAGCTCCAGGTATAGAAGTCTTGACCGTTAAAAGGCACAGTCGTTTTAATTTTTGTTGGGTTTGCAGAAGCGGGAAGATAGTTTCCGGTACCGTCAGCTGATTGCAGCTGATAAAGTGATGGCATCTGTGACCCTTGTGGTGCTTGTTGTCCTTGTCCAGCAGGAACGAAAGAAAAAGAGTTATTCGACCCGTCACTTCCCTGTGGCATCTGGCCATGCTGATAACTGGAACCATCAAGGCTCATAGGAGTTGGAAACATTTGATTAAGTGACAAGACGGCAGCATTGACACGCTGTTGAAGATTCGTTGGCTGGTAAGCACCTTGATATTGATAAGGTCCAGTTGGTACGAAACTGGACTGTTGTCCTGGTTGACTAGAAGAACCAGTGACTGCAGTTGCAGCTGTTGTGGCTGCTGATGCTGCGGCTGCTGTCGATGATGACGCTGCTGCAGTTGTGTGTACAGGCTGGCTGCTCAGTGGCATGCCGTACATTGGTTGTTGCTGATATTGTTGTTGTTGATGTTGTTGCTGCAGATGTGAATTATCAGCAGCTGGAGACGCTGTTGGGCGTGATGGGCTCGTAACAGAAGAGCCGTTGTTGGACCGTGGAGATCCAGACATAGTTGTAGAGTATGAATTTGGAAGCTTGTAGTATCCTAAGACGCTCGCAATACCATGTTAGAATTTGAAGTGATTGAATAGGATCGTAATACTTAGGATGGTAGCTTCCTGTCGTAGCGGAAGTCTTATATGAGTTAATAAAGCTTTGTCTGGACTTAATAAAAGCCCATGTAGTGATATGTTTCAGGATCGATGTCTCTGAAATCAGATATATTATAAAATGATAAACATACAAAATATATAACTAGAGTAAAGTACCTGTTCGCCTACTATACTGTGCTTTTCTTGTTCTGAAACGGTACGTAACTTTTCGCGAGGTCTATAGCTACGTGCTGACGTCATCCTATGGCGCGTAGCGCTTTGCTGACGTCAGCCTATCGGTACTTTACTGTACTACACGAATATCCTTGAAGTGCTTAAGTCTTGATATTATCTCAACACCCTGCAGCATGAAGTGTTGGCTAATCAGAATGTGGCAACCATGTGGTGCTGGAGGGCTGCGAGGGTTCCTGCACCGTTGGCTGTGCTGGCAAGCACTGATGCTCCCATTCCCTCCAATCCAATCTCTCTTGTTTCTTTTCCTCCTGTTTCTCTCTCCCTCCCTCTCAACCCGATTTCTCTCTCGTTTTCTCGTCTGCACTAATGCATGGCGCCATCAGCACCAGAAACGGCGGGCTGTCGGGAATCGAACCCATCGCGAGCACCGCCGAACCTCCTCTTGTCTCGCCGAACACATTGCCCCCGTTCGACGCGATCCGCAGTGCATGCGAGATGGTCGTCGGCCACGTGGCAATTCCCGTCGGCGTCGCAGGCCCGCTACGACTCGACGACGCGTAGTTTTTCGTGCTAATGGCGACGACCGAAGGCTGCCTCGTCGCCAGCACGAACCGCGGTTGAAAGGCCATCTGCGCCACGGGCGGCGAGCAGAGCGTCATGCTGTGCGACGGCATGACCCGCGCGCCCGCTGTCCATTCCCCCGCTCCCTTTACCCCGCACTCCATCCACTCCCTCTCTCCCCCGGTCGTCTCCCCCCCAACCATGCTAGTCTTCCCTCCTCTCTCCTTGCCTCACCCTACCTGTCAATCTGGTTCCTCCCCCAAACCCTGCCCCTGCAGCTTCAACGTGTATGTGTCGCAAGCAGAAGTGCAGAGCACTGTCACGTACTGGTGTCCCAAGCTGAGGAGGAGAGGGAAGAACCAAAGGCTAAGGGCAGTGATGATAGCACGGGTGGTGATGATTCATGAGGCATGCTAGCTTAGCAATGTTTCGGAAGGCTGCTACTGACTTAGTATTTAAAATAGAGATTTCTAATAATAACAGCCTTTTATATTATTGAACATTGATGCATCAGCCTTTTTTCAAAGGTAGCATTGACATTTCAGGCTTTTTTTTTTTGGAACACTGTCAATCAGGGTTTCTACACAGGGGTACCCTGATGGGTCGACGACCCTAAAAGTGAATCTGAGGCCCTGCCGCACGGCAACATCCCCGTCACTGCTGTCACGTTCGATGGTTCTAGACAAAACGGTGCGGTGGGAAACCGAACCGCTGCTGTTTTTGCCTGAAAACCATGCACGATCCCACGTGTTGCATGGTCGGTTGAATTCACCTTGTTGCGGGCTTCAATTTGGTATGTTTAAAAGTGAATTTTATTTTTTTCCTATTACAAACGCATGCGCTTATAAAAATGACTCAATTAGAAGCGCACCCCCCTAAAAAACACTGTTTTATTACAAGCGCACCTGCGCTTCTATCTGGGGTAATACGGTAGAGTGAGATTATGGGAAGCAACAGGAACACAGGATGCATGATCGCTTGCTCTAGTGCGTGTAAGGGCACCACCTAAGGATATATTCACCAGTACCAATCTTCCATGAGTATTTGTCAGTGACAAATGGTCACCACTGCTTCACTCCCATTCCTTCTCTGAACCCACTTGGTGTGCAGAGATTCTCAGCAGCAGCCCCCTTAGAGTCAGTTTCCTCGTTTAAAGCATCACTCCCTGGTGCTGACTGGCCCGACATTGCGCTTGTAAGGCCAATCTCAGAATTTACTATAATATTTGTGTGGACAAATATAGAGGCTTCCTCTTACACCATTCACCCCTATAATACTAATTATCCCTCCCTCTGGTACGAGGGTGGGATCCCATCCACCACGGTCACAATCTCTGCTCTGTGAATTGATGCTTCAGGCTAGCATATACAACGATTCATGTATTAGCCGCTCAACAGATGCACCAAGCACATAATACAAAGAATCATTCTATAGATGAACTAGAGTTCCAATGAGATCAGGGTTACAATCAGATACAATGTGTTACAATCAGGTAGTCGCCAAGCACCCACCTACACAAGGATACACTACCAACAATCACCCACATGATAGAGTAAACACCCACATGATCACAAGGCTAGTGATATCCACTGCAGCAAGCGGAAGCCCCCTCATATTTCCCCCACCACCATTACACGCTCCCAGCCTCGGCAGCCCCCCCGTGTTGCTAGGAGTTGCACTTGGCAGCTGCTGGATCTGCAGAGAGAAGGACAAGGTAGGGAGGTGATACCAATCAGTTTTATGGCGGAGTGTATGCAGCATACCAGCACCACACCCCGCAATAATATTGCCCTCTCGGTAACAAAGCATTGCCCTCGCCCCAACATGCATCTCCCACTCACCAAAACCCATTAGCCGCGCATATACTAAGCAGTTTCGCTTTGTTCTCCTCGCAGGCATTCCTCGACGCTGCGGTAGGATGCGTCCACGAATTGCAATTTTTCTTCCTCGCTGCAGCGCAATCCGACTTCAAGAATAAGCCGACTGAAAATGAGCGACATCAAGGGAGGCAGGAGAACATGGACGGATATGAGCTGCTTTACGGCGTACCCTGCTTCACTAGTCTCTTACAGCCAACTGCCGGACCTAATCTGTCAATGCTGCCCAGCCAGCTCCTTGTATACAGTAACACCAGTAAACCATAGAAAAACAGAAACAGAAATAACCGCAGGAACAGATCATCTGGGGGCTTTGGCTTGATTCATTCCTACCCAGTTCGCGGCGGCGTCCCTGCTCGTCCCCCGCGCTGCGCTGAGCAACACTCGGCGCGCTCTCCGCCGTGATGACGCCGCTGGCGGTGTCTACCGCCCCCGACGCACCTGCCGCCACGCCATGCCGACAAATAGATCCACGCAGGGGATGAGGGGACCAGGGGAAGGGGAGAGGGGAGGCAAGGGGAGGGAGTGAGTGTAAGGCGCTTTCCCAGATGTTTCATGCGGCGTGGGGACGTGAGGTATGGGTCAGAGAGAGAAGCGATGGGCCGTGCAGAGTGATTCACTCTAATTTTCCGTGCGATGTTAACGTGCATTCCGAGAAGCGAGAGATGTTGGCCCCATGTTATGGTAATTGGCAGCCATTGCGATGGTAAGTCGTTGACCCGTGTGATGATGACTGCCAATCAAGAGTGAATCACTCTGCACGGGTCTGTGACTTACCATCGGCAGTTATCGCAATGCCACGAAGCCGATCAGATCGAGCAGCAGCAGTAGAAGCGAATGATGCGAGAGAGACGGTGACGGCAAGCAGGAGAGCGAGAGCAGTAAGCAGACGCGCCATGATGATTACGACTAGTAGCTAGTAAAGAGGATGCAGGGAGTCGGAAGCGAGTGAAATAAGAGCTGCGAAATTTGGGTCTGGTGTTGGAAGGAAAAAGACATGGGTATTTGTATGGTGTGAGAGGGTGGATTGTGGTGGATGTGAATGAATGGGCTGAAGCGCAGTTGTGCATGCTCACCATCGCGAATCGCAAACCTCAGCGAATCACCATCGAGAAGTTCGCGGAAACGCGTTCCAAGTTCCAACCATAATTCATCAGGATGAGTGAGTGGTTCGGCTACAAAGTGGATGTTGGGTGGTGTGGTGTGGTACACACGTTTCGAGTGCCCACAAACGGGCCCAAGCAAAATTGATCGCGTTCAGACTGTGTGGTGCTTGACAACCCGTATACGTTTCACTTTCACCCTGACTGCCCGAGGTTAACCTGTGGGAGCTGATTTTAATAAAAAGGGTCAAAATCCCGTTTCCACTTTCCGTAAGTGGTGTTGTCGAACTTAGAAATGGAAGCGCTCATCAATGACACAGAATCTTGGTTGCGAAATTTCAAACCTATTTCATCGAGTGGAAGAAAAGTTCTAAAATATTTTTTTCCAGCTCAGAGTCTTTTTGGTACATCCGCACATGTAGTCTTACGTGAACCATCAAACCATTGAATACGGCCACTTCGTGCACATCACGCAGAAAAATACTTGACTCTCGTCCACTATGCTCAAGCAAATGCTTGATTCGCCGTGAGATGCGGGGAGGGGGGGAATAATACCGTAGAAGTGAATTATATGAACTACACGACGATGATATGAGATGCATAAACAATAGCCACATATAGAGATGGTGCATGAGGATTAAATTCTAAACAAACCCAGGATGATCATGATATGGGTTGTCACTCTGAAAATTAGTATTTGATGGTTTGAAAAATAAACATTTAACCATATTCATACAATTGTGCGATTATCAATATAAGTTAACGCGGTTGACATAGTTGAAGGATACTTATGGGAAGGACGAGACCGAAGCGTCATACCGTACTATGTACAATATTTTTAAGGACATTCGTGTACATGCATCACCTTCTGGTATAATCGATTGCTGTTACATAGGATTCTGGAATGCCATGCGCATCCACAAGAAGCCGAGACAACTTATCCAGAAACCCTCCTTGAACAAACACCTCATGCTGGCCTTTCTTGCCTGCTCTTAGGCAAGGGGAAAGGCAATACGCAGAGAGGAGGGAAGAGGCAAAAGTTGAAATGAATGGGCATCGTGCAAGAAAATAGATTAAGAAAAATGGGGAACCAGAAGGAGAGTTAGAAACGAGGGGGAATACCGTAGGAGTACAGAAGAAAGGGTGGAAGATGGAGATTTCAGCAGACAAAATGGTACACGGAACATGTACCGAAATTTCTGCAGCGCTACAGGGCTATACCCACCTGGCTGGCGCTGTGCAGTCATTGTGCTCCTTTACCAAAGACAATGCATCAACCTGCTGCCGGACCTGGTAGGTACGGGACCTCGTAGGTTCGGTATAGCCCTGGCACCTGGTGCAGCTGCACCCACCTGGCACTTCAGCAACCGATGTGCTCGAAGCTATCTTCTCCCGCAGCTCAGCAGCGAGCAGTTCAGCCTCCACCAGATAGGCCTCGACGCCTGTCACCCGCGTCACCTTCCTGCTGCCCTGCCGCCCCCTGACAAATATCTGCACCGGTTCTACCTCCCCCTTCCGCTCCACACTCCTCCCCCCCTTCTCCACCTTGTGCTGTGCCTGCATGCGACGCAGTAACAGGGGGCCTACGTCCCTCTTGGGGCACTCAGTTGGATAAGGCAGTCCCTTCTTTATCGCGCCTTTGTACAGTGCATCGCATAGTGTAGCATCGAGGATGACTATAGAGAGGTCAGAGGGATTTGTGAGGGAGTGGAGGGAGATGTAGGAAAGAGCGGCGTTGTGAACAGCTGAGGGGGAGTAGAAGGCGTGTGGGTCGAGCCCTATGGCTTCGATATAGGGGAGACACGTGGAGAGACGGTTTAAACACCTGTTCTACCGTCGTGGTGGTTGTGACGGCGCCGGTTCCGGTAGCTACCCCTGAGCTGCCTTCGAGTGCAGTGACAGGGGCTTGGGCGGGTTTGCTTGTCTTATGTGGCCAGAATGCGAGGAGGGACTGGTGGCGGTGGTTGATGGATGAGATGATGAGCTCCTTGCGGTGCTTGTCCTCCCTGCCGCTTATCTGGAGGGGGGTGATGGGGAGAGGTATATAGATTTGTGCAGTGGGGAAGGTGTAAGGGAAGGGGTGGGGGTACATTCTATGTGCGGTTAAAGGCAGAGATGATGAGCTCCTTGCGGTGCTTGTCCTCCCTGCCACTTATCTGAGAGGGCACTGAGGGGGGGTTGTGGGGGTAGGTAGGTGTGCAGTGGACCTGGTGTAGTGTACATGCTATGACCCCTGGGAGGTAGAAATGATGAATTCCTTGGGGTGCTTGTCCTCCCTGCCTGAGAGTATTCATCAGAGCGTGATAGGGAGAGGTGGCTGAGTGCAGTTGCATGTACGGGAAGGGGTGGGTACATGCAACTCTCACACTTCCACTCTCCCACTCACCAGCCCATCAACAGCCTTGGCATGCAACCACTTGGAGAGGCGCTCATGCGACATTCGGTTGAAAACGCATGTGAGAGTATAAATCTCTCCCACTCACCAGCCCGTCAACAGCCTTGGCATGCAACCACTTGGAGAGGCGCTCATGCGACATTCGGTTGAAAACGCATGTGAGAGTATAAATCTCCCGCACACACACAGACACCTACCAGCCCGTCAACAGCCTTGGCATGCATCCACTTGCTCTGCTTCTTGTGAGATGAATTCTTGATGTCCACTGTTGTGCCGGGCGGCCGACATGGCAGCACGTGATTGGACCTGCCAGAACCAACAGCACTATTACTTTGGGGCAGCAGGAAAGCACATGATTCACATGCCATGCACATTGTGCTCAAGACATGGCAGCATTCGGACACATGCCATGCACTCAATATTCGAGACGCGGAAGTCGCGCAAACAGGTCATGCCATGCCAGCAGCAGGGATCTACGGACTTGAAGCTGCCACTCTTGTCGCATGTGTAATCCACCTGAAGAAGAAGAGAGCAGGCAGGCTGAAGAGCCTAACAAAAAAAGCACATGGAATGTAGTTTTGAGACGTCTCAAAACAAAAAAAGCACATGGAATGATTTTTTTTTGGGCAGCTTACCAGAGGGAGCCAGCTGCCAGCGGCAGGTGCGAGGGCTTGACAGAGACAGAGAGGGCCTGCAGCAGACAGTGCTCGAGCAGCTGGTCCATCTGTGCTGGCGTCATTGGTGGTGGTGCCGCTACCTCTGCTGCTGCTGCTGCTGCTGCTGCTGCTGCTGCTGCTGCTGCTGCTGCTGCTGCTGCTGCTGCTGCAGCAGGTACGCACTCCTCTGCACCGGATGCTGTTTGATCCTCCGCCTCCCTTGCCACAACAACGGTCGTGGCAGCAGCACCAGCAACATTGCCATGAATGTCCGGTTGCTGTAGAGGCGCTGGCAGGTGCACTGATGAATCTGCTGTGGCTGCTCCTATTCTTCCTGCTCCTGCTCCTGCTGCAGCTCCTGTTGCTGCCGCTTCTACTGCTGCTGCTGCTTTTACTGCTGCTGCTGCTGTTGCTCCTGCTCCTGCTGCTTGTGTTGCTGCTGCTGCTGCTGCTGATTCTGCTTCTGTTACTGCTGCTGCTGCCGCCGCTGCTGCCGCAGCTGCCCCTGCTCCTACTCCTGCGTCTCCTCCTCTTGCTGCCGCTACTGCTGCTGCTAGTCCCTCCCCAGTCACTGCATCTGCCCCACCCTCCCCACCACTCCCAACCTCACCCCGCCCTGCCTCCCTCTCTCCTCCTGAACCTGCAGCAGCACCAGAAACACCATCAGGTGAATCTTCAGGTGAAACGCCAGGTGTTGCATCCATCAGTGCAGGCACGGCATCAGGGTCAGGCGCAACCATGTCTGGCAGGAAGCCCTTGTTGGGCGCATGGGATCCTTTTGCACTCTCCCTGTGGTAGCATTGGGGGGAGGACGGGATGGGAGAGGAGTTTACTTTTGCGGCGCCTCAAAAGGCGCAACCATATCTGGCAGGAAGCCCTTGTTGGGGAAATATTATTCTTTTGCAGTCTCCCTGTAATAGCATCAAGAGGAGGATGGGATGGGAGGGAAGGGGCGGGAGGGGCAGTATGTGAGAATCTAGTGTTAAGCTGTTTTTGAGATTTCTCAAAATTAACCTACAAAAAACAGGAAGCCCTTGTTGGGCGCATAGGATCCTTTCGCAGTCTCCCTGTGGTAGCATCACGGGGAGGACGGGATGGGGGGGGGGGGAGTTTTGAGACGCTCCAAACTTGCTGGGCACATTCGATCCCTTTGCAGTCTCCCTGTAGTAGCATCACGGGGAGGACGGGATGGGAGGGGGAGGGAGGGGCCTTATATGACAACCCTAACCTGAGTGCAAGGTGGGCAGGAAGTAAAAGGGTACACGTACGAAGGAACTGGAGAAAGAATACATGTTCGGCCACCCGAGTTAAATGATTGACGGTGAAGTCAGGTTGACCAAACATTGGCGGAGTGAGTGCTGGCGTCAGCTCGAATGACCGTTGGGTTCCGTTCTGTTGTCTTCTCGGGGCGGTCCAGACATGTGTAAAATACCTACAAGCTGTTGGGTCATAGTGCGACTGTGCGACGTTTTACGCTCCACCAATGGTATGAACACCACACTGAATGAGAACAGATTGTTTGTCAGCCGTACTGGACCATTAAAAGTCGCGGTAAAAGTGTTTTTGAGTCGACTCAAAACACAAGGCGTCATAGTGCGACCGTGCAACACAACGCTCTACCAACGCTGTGTGTGAGCACACTGAATGAGAACATGGTTCGACAGCCATACTGACCAAAAAGAGTCGCGGTAGCAGTGAGTGATTGGAAGGAGCTTGCCCCTCATGCCTGCCTGATCGCCTCTTCACTCCCTAGCATTGTGATGCCCACCTGGTGTGAGTTAAAGAATGTGTGCGCAGCACACGCATGCACGCGACAATCCATGTGCACACAAACGCACGCACCCACGCATATAAATATATAGCGTATGTTAGTTTATAATCACCGGACGTGAGAGCAAGGCAACAGCACTAGAAGAGACAAATAAAGGGTAGAAAGGCAAAAATGGGGGATGTGAGGCAGGAATTTCCTGGAACCTTCACGGACCACACCTCCCCTGGTTGGAACGCTGGCAGGCCTGTGGCAGGCACCTTGCGGGCGACACATTGCAGATGGGGAGAAGAGGGGAAAGAGGGGGTTCAGTGGGGAGAAAAAGGGGGGGGGGGTGGGGGGGGGGGGGGACGAGGGAGGTGTGAGGGGAATGGGGTTGGTTGGTGGAAGGGAAGTTCAGAGACTGTGTATGGTGGTTGTTTAAGGGTTTTTGTTGTTGTTTTTTCTTTTTTTCAGAGTCCTGAAACAAAAAGCTGCAGTGTACTAGGTGCTGCCTCCACAATACCCTCTCTCTACATGCACGCCTGGCGCCATGAGGTCAGCCCCTAAAAGCAGATAGCGCGAAACCTCCCCACCCGTGAGCAGGAACGAAGGCAGCAAGCTGGGAACACGCCACAGCGCAAACACTGCCGATGGGGTGCAGGGTTGGGGAGGGGTATACAGGTTGAGGTGACAGGGTTGATCTGAAATCTGTACATGAAGCATGACGGTTTTCGCGATGCATGTGTCAAAAACATGCATGTTAGCTTTTGAAAGAGAATGTGTCGGATCCAAACCAGAGCCAATTCTCACATGGACGTGAAAAGACTATTATAGGTGAGTATGCATGCATCTGATCAAACTATGACACTTGCTCGCCTAGAAGCAACTCTCCTATACTTGTCGCCAGCAAGGTAAATTCAGCCTATACGTGATATGACCAAGACATGCGAAACAGGCCCTATTGTGAGCTGTCCTCCTCGCTTATCAGTGTGATAGACATCTTAAATCCTCTTTTCAGTCTTCATAATTCCTTCACAATCCCTACCTGGACGTATCTATTCCTTCAGTCCCCAGCCTTGCAGCCAACTCTCTTCCGTTGCACTATTCTGCGATACAGCAGTCATCGGTTGACTGCTGAGCTGCGCCTACAGCAGTCACGAGCTGCGACGCCAGTTTGACGAGCAGCGCCTACATCAGCGCCACACTTCCAGCACAGCAGCACGACGGGGGGTTGCCACATGGGTACCGGTTTCTGTGTAGTTACACGTGCGTGCGTGTGGTTACATGGCCGTGTGGTTACCAGTGGGGTAGATCTCGGTGTGGTTACATGGCCATGCGGTTACCAGTGGGGTAGATCTCGGTGCCCCGGCCGTCGCAGTCGAAGAGCATGGGCAGCCCGTTCTCGAGTCCGTACACCAGCACGCGATTCACCAGCCTCGTCACCGCCACGTCAGCCTGGACCACCAAGCAGACCAATCAATCGGAATACCTTGAAAAAAACATCGGGAAATCCGGAAAGAGTAAACCAGTAAAGACAGCAGGAAATCCGGAGAGCGCAAGCATCAGAGCGGATTAGGACGAGGTGGTTAAAACGAACGGCGAGAATTCAATTCGAGGGTTATCAGGAGTCGAATGCGGGGACCTACTACGTGGAAAATAACCGGGGGGGGGGGGAGGGGGGGGGAGGGGGGGGGGGGGGGGGGGGGGGGGGCGAATTCGAGGGTTAAAGCGGGGAGCTACCAAGGAGCACCTTGGGCGGCAGGATCGCGTCCAGCTGCTCGTCAGTGGCGCCTGGAAACTTGACTCGGATGTTTCGCCGAAGCTTCTTTCGGTCCGCTCCTGACAGACGCTGCTGCCCGCGAACGTCGCTCGGCTTTTTGAACATGATGGCGATCGGACGGCTAAAAGGAGAAATTGCAGGGCTTTGAATGACGGTATGGCTTGAAGCTTTTTACTCTAGATTACTCTACTCCGAAGTCGCGGTTCAAAGGGAAAGTGTATGCGGATGGGATAGAAGAGAACTAAGCAACAAAATGCGGAATCGGACTGGAAATCTGGGATGGGCTCAGGGCGTGTAGTTTGCAGCACAATGCGGAAACCGCGACCCGAGTTGCAGTTTCATCAGAAATTTTACTGCGCAACCCAGCTCAACCGATGTTTTTTCTGCGAAATATCAAACCGAGCTCGCACAATCTCATCCCAGATTTCCCATCCTGTATCACCACTAAACGCATGAACAATTGGGTTCAGAGCGAACAGCTCCTTCCTGGTGTGAATCGATAGCAAAAGGACCCAAACTGACGCGTTCTCTGATACGCAACTCGAACCCGCTAATGGGTACGCGCCCTACCAGTTTCCTCGTCCAACCTAGTCTCGCTGGCTGTTAGATACTTTCTCCAGCAATGATACTTCGCGGGAAATTAGGTGGCGTCGAAGCGGGAGGCATATTCGCGTTTGAGTTCACTTAGACCTGAGTAATATTCGAAGTAGCAGCCTTAGGATTCAGCCAAGTCAGCTCACGATTGCACATCATTCCAGACTATTGTAAAAATCGTGCTACTCCTTTCAAGCTTCCATAGCTTTTCCTGGCTAACGTTTCTGCCTCTCATGCGCTGCCGATTTTGGGTTATTTAGTTGAATTTTGTTTCGAAAGGCCGCAGTCCCACTTCTTTAGTGTCGCAGCTAGATTTCTACGAATCGGATTTCAAGATTCTAGGGATTACGTACTACTCGTCGAGTCGCCTCGAGCGACTCTCGTCGCTTCCGGCCAGCCTCTTAACTAGCTGTTTTGAAATAGCCGCGCTGTTGGCGAAGTTACTGAAGCGGATAGAAATGATCATGCTCGAGGCTACTACGATACAGCGTATATATGTATGATTAGCAGCTCAACAGATCATGCAGCACAAGGGTTCAAGGAGTCATACGAGGTGAACAAGAGTTGTTACAATCACTGAGACATCCAGGCACCCAAGCACCCACCTACAAGGTTACACAACACCCACAATCACCCACATAAAGTACACACACACATCACCACAAGGCAAGTAATATCCATTGGAGCAAGCAGAAGCCCCCTCGTCTTCCCCCCGCCACTACTACACGCTCTCAGTCTTGACACCGGACCCGTCGGTGTTGCGAGGCGCTGCTGTTGGCGGCTGCTGGATCTGCAGAGAGAAGGACACGGTGGGGAGATGGCACGAGTCAGTCTCACAGCACATGGACACGCGGGCGTGGTGGGCCCCACATAGGCTCTAAGACTCTGCCGCGCTGCTATGGTACAGCTATGGCCTTTCCAAGCAGCGTACATGCCAACATGATAACTCAACAGCACTTGCAGACACGGGGGTGAGGTGAAAATGAAGGCACAGTGTGAAGCTTGCTTGCTCCAAAGGAACAGCTAGCACAGAACAAACTCCCTAGCACATGGTTTCATGGCGGCATGTATGCAGCATACCGCACCACACCCCGCAGTATCGCCCTCTCACCACCACGCATCTCCCTCGCACCAGCACGCATCTCCCTCTCACCAGCACGCAACTCCCTCTCACCAGCACGCAACTCCCTCTCACCTGCATGCATCTCCCTCTCACCAGGGTTTCAGCCCGCAATCCTTCCGCTTTTCTACACACGCCTTGTCCGAGTCCGTGACCGGCGGGTTAACGCAAGGGGGAGGGATGTTCCTGTCAACACAGGGCGCGTCTGCAAACGGGCGACAGCAAGGAGCGACAGCAAGGAGCAACGGGCACTTTCTCGCTTCAGAGAGTGGGTCACCGAGAAGCGGCATCATTGGAGGCAGGAGCAATCGGACGGCCGCAATTTACCTCAAGTTGAGCTTTCTGGAAAGGGGGCATGTTAGAGGGCCCTACGACAGCAAGGGCCCTCGATGACCTTTGACTTGGCAGGTCGGCGCCTAACGACTGAGTCTACTCGGCACCGACGCACGAGTTCGGTGGCGGTCATTAGTGACTACGGGTGACTGTGAGCTACTGCAGCGAACTCGGCGGAATCGGTGCTAGGAATGACGAGTCTTGGGGGTCGTAGGTGCCTTGCTTGTGAGGCACGCTGCTCACTTGCTGTGTTGGCAGGAGTAGCGTGCACGGTGAGACATTCCGGTGCCGAGTTGGGTTGGAAATGTGCGGGGCGCGTTCACCCACCTGCACAGCACTTTCGTGTGGGTTGGGTTACTCGCAGCGCCACGCAACAATTGTGCAACTCTTGCTTGCCTATATATGTTTGTGTTTGCTTGTGTGTTTGATAATTGATATTGTAATTCTACTTGGCCCAAATGCTACTTCAATTCTCACAAAGTCCTTAGAGGCAAACGCTACCAAAACTCTACCAAGTTGCTGGCGCAACATCATTCCCATAGCAGAGACTCTCTCGCTATCGCTACGCTCTCTAATATATTCCTTCATGGTGCGGTGAGCGTGGAACGAACACGCATAGATTTCCGTCGTCGTTGATATTCGCGCTCGTATACTCGCCTTGGCGTGCGGCGTTAGTGAAGGGCGCTTATTAATCTAAGTTGAACCTCTCTTGATTTCCCTCCAGTTACGTTCTCGGACCCAAGGATAGGGCGTTTGGTAATTTATTACCACTCGTCTGAGGACCCTTGTGAGGTGACCCCGAGACGAGGGATTTAAGGAAGGGGCACTTTATTTTAATTTGTGGTACCTTATAGAGACGTCGTAGAGGATGAGTACAGAGGAGGCGAACGTGGAGGTCGGTAATTTGCGCGCCCTAGAGGAGGATCTCGTGGCTCGTCATTCTCGTGGTGAGATTAGTGATATCGAATACGAGCTAATGTTGGAGGGATTGCGCTCGCGTCGGCGTCGTGAGCACCCTTCGCCACGTGTAGAGAATGTTGAGCAAGTTGCGGGAGGTACTAGTGCGTGGGATATGGCTGTCGATGGCGGAAATAGCGATGACGAGGAGTTTGATGGGTTGATGTCGCGTGGGGTCCTGCGAGGACCAACTCGGTTTAGTACGGCTAGCGTTGGCGGTGTACAGGAGCGTGTTCATCGTGCAGCAGCGTCACGAGAGCATGCGAATGTAGGACGGCGCAGCGTTGCTGGAGGAGGAATTGCGGAAGAGTTCGATAGTGAGGCTATGCCGGGCGTTACCCCGATTGGATCGATGTCGAGGGACGAGGGAATAGCCCCCAACTATGGCTACTTCAGATTCACTCCAGACAAGATCGTTGTCACTAGGCCGTTAGAAGGACGTCACGACCTGTCGACGTGGACAGAATCAATCGAGCCGCAGCTTGAGATCGCTCAGCTAAAGCGATTCATAGATGGCACCACCCCCATTCCACCAGCGCGTGCGCTTGCGCATCTCTCTCAGTTCCGCGCGATGCAGTTGCTGACATTCACCACCATTTCCCGATGCTGCTCCCCAACCGTACAGATCGCCCTTAAGGCGTGTCGCATGAAGGTCGATGCCGGCTATCAGGCATGGCAGTTTATTATGCGCACGTACATGGCGAAGGACGATCTGTACATCGGTCAGTTAGAGCAGGCGCTCACTAACCTCGAGATGGGAGAGCACGAGTCCGCTACGTCCTATTGCAACCGTGCGCAGCAGATCCTAGTGAACCTGAGGATGGCCGGCGTAGATTACTCGCAGGCGTCGTACATCACTCACGTTGTGAAGGGGTTGCCGCAGCAGTACAACCTCTTACGTAGGATGCTGAAGTTGCCGCAGGTTCGCAAGGAGTTGGACGAGGACACCCTCGCTAGCTACATCATCGAGGAGGAGTGTACGCTGGCGGCAGAGGGACGAAAGGACCAATTTCTTCCCCAGGCTAACCAGGTCTTTACCAAGAAGGGTAAGCCCCAATTCCAGCAGACTTCATTCCCTTCCCCTCCCACTACTGCACAGCAGCAGCAGCCTAAGAATGGGGGTGGGCTTGGTGGGGGAGGGGAGAAGTGGAAAGGGGGTAAGGATGGCCAGCCGAAGAAGGGGAAAGGGGGCTTCAAGGGGAAGTGCTATGTGTGTGGACAAATAGGGCATGTTGCTAAGTACTGTCAGCAGCGGGCGGATAAGGAGGCAGACACCGGTGGAGAGGGTTCTGGAGGTAGCAGCGGAAAGGGGGGTGATGGCTCTAAGGGGAGCGGGCAGTCATCATGTGCGATGGTGAAGCCAGTTGTGGAGCAGACTCCTCTCGTTGTGCTAGAGCCTGAGGCCGGGGAGGGCTTACAGGCTGTTGCAGCTGCTGTGAAGGCGAACCCGAGCGTCGTGCTGCTTGATAGCGGATGCTCCCACCATCTCATGGGAGATCGTTCTGCCTTTGTGGAGATGAGCAGCGGCGGCAGCATTAAGCAGGTTACCGGCTTCAACGGCGCCCTTCAGGAGGTGCAGGGGCGAGGCACAGTCGCTCTTCTTGGGGAGGGGGGCAGGCGTGTCTTGGTGCCGGACGTGCTGTACGTACCAGGAGTGCAGGCGAGTCTTCTCTCTGCTGGGCAGCTGCGTGATAGTGGTGTGCAGCTGCTGGATGCCGGGGATGTGACTTTGCTGCGGGCACCAGATGGATCGCTCCTTGGTCGTGCGGAGTTCAAGGGGCGTGTTCTCTGCACGAACTTCCAGCCGTGTTCGACGCAGCAGCAGGAAGGCGAAACGGTGGCACTTCGTACCTTGGCGACCGGCGTACGGTCTAAGGGGGACCTGTGGCATGCGCGTATGGCACACGTTGGTATTGATGCCATCGAGCGCACAGCGGCTCACGGGTCAGTGAAGGGCTTGGATTTGGAGAAGGGGGGCAAGTCAGGCATACCTTGTGTCTCCTGTGTTGGGGGAAAGATCACTCGTCATACCTTTCCTTCTGTGGGAGAGGAGGAGGATGAGTTGCTCGGGGTGGTGCATGCTGACCTGTGTGGCCCTTTC